TGCTCTCATGGCTTTAGAGAGAGTAAAGAATGTGGAGGGTAATAAAATTGTTGTAATAAAAGTAGTGTACAAAGTTAAAGAATGTGAAGGGTATTTTTGTAAATAATTAATTTTTTTTAAAAAAAAATTATGCAATGATTTAGTACACCAAACCAGACAATAAATAAAAAATAATGTCAGCATTACTAATACACCATATTCAGTACTATTCTTATATTTCCAATCAAACTAACCTTAAAGGTAATAAATTGTGCCACTTAGGTTGGTAGAAGTTGATGTTGTTGTGGGAGGTAAATATGTTGAGATAACAATATAATATAGTTTTTTATAATTTAAATTAAGATATTAATAATAATTTTTTTAGTTATTACTCCATAGATGTGAGGTTATAATACTTGAGTTTCTGCCAATAATTCTTCATTTATATATATATATATATAAAATTTTATAGGATTACAATAGTATCCGCACATCGTGCGGGTACTAATACTAGTTTACATTAGAACAAGTGGGCTCTCTACCTTTTAATTTATAGCCCATATTTCAATTTACAACCAACTAGCCCAAAAATATTAGGCTAAGATTCAATATCCAACTCCAATAAGTTCACAAAATTACTATTTAATTTTTAAAAAAGATTGCTCAAGCTTTTAAGTTACTTTTTAAATCAATAACTGTGACTCAAATATTAGTTCAACAAACCAAATCCATTTGGTTGGTAAAAATTAAATTTTTAACAAGTTTAAATATGTGGGTTTAAATTTTCGAATTTGATTTTGTGAGAAATTTGGAGTGAGTGTTATTTAGACTTGTTAGAAATAATATAAGGAGGTTGTATATAAAATTTGAAGTCATTTAATGGAGATTTGGACTCGTTTTGAATAAGAATTGCAACTGAAAATCGTGGAAGAAGTTCGTCTACATATGCTTGCATAAAGGTTTATAAAAGTATATAATAGTGTATAAGATGTGTTTATACACACATATACACTATTATACAAGATTATACATAATTATACAAAAAACTGACTTCGACTTCTTCCTTGTGTCTTTTCCGAAATTTAACTCAAATCTTGCTTAAATCTACTCAAAATCACTTCAAATTTAGATTTTGAACTCCTTTTGATATTTTCAATCAATTGGAACAATACCCAATCCAAATAACTAACAAACTCAAAAAGTCCTATTTTCGAAGCAAAGCTTTGAATGACCTTCAATGGTGGACTTCTACTCTTCAATTTTTTTATATTGCAATCAGGTGACATAGGGGGGAAGCAGTAATGGCGGACGGCCCCTTGAAGCATATGTAAAAGATGTGAGAAGAAGAGAGAGTGAAAGCAATGGTTGTAAGAACACAGATTTAACTCCATAACTTTTAGAAGCAATGGTTGTAAGAACAAATTTGCAAGAGCTACTGTTTTTAAAATATGTACAATATGGGTTAGGTCGGGTAAAAGTTAAAAACATAGGCCATTTTTGTCACGACCCGGATTTCTCACCATCGGGAGTCGTGATGACACCTACTAATAGGAGCTAGGCAAGCCAATTAATTTAATACTACTCTTAACAACATCAACAATATAAGGAACAACGAGACAGTTAATATAAAAGCGGAAGTCTTTAAAACTTAAATAACTGAAAATCCAAAATGCGGAAGTTTAACATTTCTCTTCCCAAGTCTGGTGTCGCTAACTCACGAACTACTAAAGAGTGCTAAAAACAAGTCTGAATAGAAATACATCAATGTTTGTCTCGGTACAAGGAAAACAAACTAAAAACATAGAAAGGGACTCCGGCCCGCGAACGCCAGCTAGGCTACCTCGAAAGTCCCTGGACTGATGTCAGCTCCCAATCAACTACTGCTGTGGTCCAAAAGCTGCTCCGGTACCGTGATCTGTGCAAAAGAGCACAGAAGTGTAGCATCAGCACAACCGACCCCATGTGCTGGTAAGTGCCTGGCCTAACCCCAGCGAAGTAGTGACGAGGCTAGACAGGACTACCATTCAACCTGTGCAGATATATATATGTACAAGTACTACAAAAATAACAGCGGAAAGTAATAATTAAGACTGGGAGGGGAAACATGCTTTTGGGGATAACAGATAAAATAGAACGGTAGGAATACATAAGGAAAATCACAACTGGTTCCTTCCAACACAGATTTCGTGGTCGGCGTGCCACACGATCCCATTTTACAATATATAAGTGGTCGGCGTGCCACACGATCCCAATTTATAATATATAAGTGGTCGGCGTGCCACACGATCCCAATTTATAATATATAGGTGGTCGGCGTGCCACACGATCCCAATTTATAATATATAGGTGGTCGGCGTGCCACACGATCCCAATTTATAATATATAATGATTTCCCGACAAGGGAACAAATATCAATCCAACTATCCCGGCAAGGGAGAATACAAATAAACATTTACTTCCCGACAAGGGAGCAACAACCATAATTCCCACGTCCCGGCAAGGGGATAATTACATCTCTTTCTCTTTCGTTCCTTTCTTACTTCCTAACCATGTCATAATTCGAGGCAACGCTCCAAGGAATTTACAAATTATATTTCGTCTTCATACTGTTCATATTATATTGAAACCATCCATTAAATAAGGAAGAGTCACTAAAAAATCCCAACTACGCACAAATAAGGACTCACGGTCATGCTAGACACCGGTGTATAGATACTCGTCACCATACCTATACACCGTACTCAACATTTAGCAATTAGCAAATAATACCCTACTCCTATTCCCTCAAGCCAAAGTTAGATCAAACACTTACCTCGGTCCAAAGAATAGCAATCAATCCTCAAATACCGCCTTTCCTCTACGATCCGACTCCGAAACAATGATATCTAGGCATAATTAATTCAATAATATCAATAAAGGCTCAATGGCAACATCCCATAGCCTAGATATGAATTTCCTAGCATTCTCCCAAAAATACCAAAATCCGACACCGGGCCCACATGGTCCAAACACGAGGCTCGGACACCCATAATCCCACGAGTTCAAATATGCAATTTGTTTTAAGATTCGACCCCAAATTGAGGTTGACTCACCCAAAATTCTCAAAAACCTAACTCTACCCAAAACCCTTAATTTACACCCTAAATTACATGTTTTAGGTCTAGAAATTTGATAAATGATGATAGAAAATGAAGAAAACGAGTTAGATAATACTTACCCAAGAAGCTTTGGTAAAGAAAAGCTCTTAAGATCGCCTATGGGCTGTGGAGAAGATGAGTTCGTGAAAATTTTGAATAAAAACCCGAAGCTACTGTTTCTGTAATTTTTAACAAAATCACTGGGCGAAAATGCCCTTCGCGATCGCGGGAAAGGGGCCGCGTTCGCGAAGGGTAATCTGGTATACATCGCGATCGCATGGGAGGAAACGCGAACGCGTAGAAGGAAAAATCTGGGGTCCTGAGATTGGCTTACGCGATCGCGTGAGTGGTGATGCGATCGCGAAGAAGGGAACCTGCAAGCTACGCGTTCGCGAGGGAGGGGCTGCGAACGCGAAGAGGAAGCACTGGGGGTCCAAAGAAATGGCCTACGCGAACGCGTTGACCATCACGCGAACGCGATGAAGGAGACACCACAGGCAGTGCGAACGCGAGCTGGAGGCCGCGATCGCGAAGAAGAAAAAACCTGTGCAGAAATTGCAGAAAAATCTGATACTTTTCCTAAGTCCAAAACCACCCCGAACACCCCCGAAAACACTCCCGAGCCCTCGGGGCTCCTAACCAAACACACACACTAACTCAACAACCTCATACGAACTTAACCGAGCGATCAAATCGCCATAACAACATCGAAATCCATGCATCAAACCTCAAAATCATCACTTTTACATCAAACTTCATAAACTTCAAATTTTAGATATTTAGGTCCAAAACACGTCAAATGATGTCCGATTTCAACCAAATTTCACAGGAAGCGCTTAAACCATATATAAGACCTGTACCGGGCGCCGGAACCAAAATACAGGCCCGATACCAACACTTTCTAATCCATTTTCATTTCAAATTTCCATATAAATTTCAGAAAAATAATTTCACAGAAAAATTCATTTCTCGGGTTCTAGAACTCGGATTTCGACTCCGGGCACACGCCCGAGTCCCATATTTTTCTACGGACCCTCCGGGACCGTCCAATCACGGGTCCGGGTCCGTTTACCAAAAATGTTGACCAAAGTCAACTTTAATCATATTAATATCAAAATTCATTACATTTTTTACAGAATTCACATTTAAGCTTTCCGGCTACATGTCCGGACTGCGCACGCAAATCGAGGCAAGTAAAAATGAGGTTTTCAAGGCCTCGGAAGCACGGAATAAATGAGAAAACAGGTGATGACCCTTTGGGTCGCCAAAACTCTATTTCAACCTTTCCTACCCAATTACCCATCCCCACTAACCCACCCTACACCCCCACCTACCCACCCCATCCCACCCCTCACCCCACCCCCACCCTAAATAACAATATTATTAGAGTCTGTTTGGATTAGCTGGTTGTAAATATCTGATAAGCTTGAAGTGCAAAATTTTTTTTAAGAGCTGAAACTGATTTTTAAAAATAAGCATTTACGTGTTTGGATAGAAGTGCTGAAACTGATAATAAGCAGTTGATATGTTTGATTAAAAAGTGCTGATAAGCTATTCTTTTGTTAAAATAACTTAAATCCCCTTGAATTTTTCAAAAGCTTATAAATTAAAATATCTTTGTAAAGAAAAGAATTAACAACATATATGGAATGAAGAGAAAGTCAAGAAATTTATTTTGGAAAAAGTATTTTTGGGAGTCTAAATATATATATATATATATATATATATATATATAATTGAGGGGCATTAGCCTGATGATGTGGCAAGCTTATAGGCCAGGGATTGCTTTATCTTTTTACTCAAATTTTTGGAGTTTTCTCCTTTTTCCTTTATTTAACTCATTAATTAACTAACAGTATTAAAACACAATCGTTATGTCTTTTACTTAGACAGTTCAAAAGTCGCTTCAAATCAAAGCCCCCGGAGTAAAGAGCCGACCCTTCCTCAATATCTCTCTTTTGTTAGCCCAGTGCAGCATAACTCTACTCTTCCCCAAATAGAAGGTCAATTCACACGCATTGGTTGCAGAATTTAATTTGGATTTCCGAGCCGTAATTACCGCCGCCAAACGCATGTACTCTCGGTCACCAAGCCAACGACAACAGGTTTTCTGCTCCTGAGAAAATCCGCAGAGAGTTCACGACTTTGCAGGTCCCTTTTCTTCTGAATTTTTTTCTCAATTTTGTTGTTGTTTATTTTCGGAAAAAATTGAGATGACGTCGTTAATTCTCTAAACATTGAAAATCACGGATGACAGGTAGCCAAATAGTAGATAACAGTTGATTGAAGTGTTGGTCAAACTTTTGAGGTTTAAGTGGAAATTTCAGTCATATTTTTTCAAAATGATGTTTTTTGGGTGGTAGAATGATTTGCTTTTATTATTGGACTTCTCATAGTTTATTTAGTCTACTCAAGTGTTGGACATTTTCAGTTTAACATAGATGGTCTCAGATTTACTTGAAGTAGGTTGCGAACTATTGCCATCTTTCTGGCAGATGCATCACAGCCCATCCTTGAAGATTTTCTTTGATCTTAATCCCAACAAGCAGATATATGAAAAAGGATATGTGCGAATCGTCAACTTAACAAATTATAATAGATTTCTAATATAATTACGTAAAATTCTTTTCTCCCTTATTTTGGTTGACAGCAATAATTAAATACCATGATATCATGGGCTGTTCCTTTCTTGCTAAGAATATTTATGTCAGAAGCTTGTGGTCCACATATAAAGTTGCTTTGAATTATTTATCTTACATTTGTGCTTAAAATAATTGCTCAATGCACATAGAAGCATTTGCACCACTTAGATGGCACAACAATTAGTAGCAAAAACTTTTTCTTGATGCCAAATCTGAATGTTCGCGATACTTGAGATAAGCATTAAGATGTTTTTCGTCATCGTAGGGATAAATTTGTAGTAGGTAGAAGGTGCTTCTACTTGGTTTGAAGTTGGAAGAAAATGAAGTTTTCAATCAGCAAGTACCTTTTTACTATAACAAAGATTAGATATACCAGATGTGAATTCCAGAATAAAGTATCGAGGCATAAATTATTTCAGTCAAATGGTTGGAGGTCCTCTTTTTGTGATATTTATTGAGGATTATATTTAGGTGTCTTCTTATGCGGAAAATCATTTTGTGCATTGAAAAGTAAATCAACATTTTTAAAATATCATTTCGTACACTATATTTTTTTTCCTATAATTCTGCTGACTCTTTTTAAATGAAAAAGGGAAAGGATTGGAGCGTCTGAGGAGAGCTTTTTGGTGTTCCAATTTTGCAGGTAAACTATCTCAACCATAACGTTGGCGTTCCCTAGCAGCTACACAACTTCCAAAGCATGATATTATAAGTCAGTTTACAAACTAAAATGCTCATCGCCTTGCCATTTATGCTTACTGTATGTCTTCCTGTGAGGTCTAAGAAGAGATGTTGCGGCACTTCTATTAGACTAGGAAAACTATTTATCTTTAACCTCCTACTTTTGCCTTTTCCTATCAATTATTTGGTTTTTGATCTTTCCCAGTTATTGTCTATTTGTTGTGCAATTAGACATGGGTTATGAAAAGTTATAATTGCTGTCACTTTCTAAATGGATATGAAAAATTGTATTTGTTTTTCCCAAAGAGACGTAACTATAGTCAATAACTATTACAATCAATAGATTAAAACTTTTGATTTGATCTCATTTTATAGTGCGAATTATATCTCTATTAATCAAGAGAAGAAAATATGTCTAGAGAGAAGGACCTCTCCATGGACTAGAGAAAGCTGGAGTGCAGATTTTTCAAAGAAGCATTGAATGGTCAGCTTTATAGCTGAGTAGAAACTGTTGGAGGAAGGAATCAGATAGAGAACCTTGGTTTTCCCTGTCGACTGAACATGTCCTACGAAGAAGGAGATCGTTGAAGACATGTGAAGTAGGTGGCTATGTCATATTCCGTAATCAATAAAATTCTTCCCCTAACTGGAATGGATGAGACAAGGACTACATCGATTTTCAGTACTATCGCAGAATATCTGAATTTCACTTCAACAAAACATAGTCAAATTGAAAAAACTAATTTGTTCAGCCAAAAACACGAGGTGAGATGCTTTTAGTTCATCTTGAGTCATTAGCAACATGCTCAAGAGACATACAAGGACTGTTGCTCCTGCAAACTGCTTTCACTTTTGGGTTCGTGCACCAAAAGTAGCCTCTGCTTCTACAACAGCCTGTCAAAATATTAACATGCATAAGTGAAAGAATTGCAGATTTTGTTGAAAGAAAAATCCATGTTTACTATATATCGAGACAAACTCAATCTACTAAAGTGAAAGGTACTGTGACAAAATGATTAGCTATTATATTGCTACCGGAAAAGCTTATAATCATCATGCAGTCCGAACAAATGTATATCATTCTATCGCTATCAGAAAAGCTCATAAGCATCATGTAGTCCAAACAAATGTATATCATTCTTTTTTTATCAGTGAATGTATATCATTCTTTAACTAACACTCCCAAAATAATTATATGCATGCAAATTTTATGATTTCTGTTTACAATAAATATTTATTTCATTGGGCAAAAGGTGAATTGTTATGTTGCTCTTGTATTAGTTGCAAATGTATTACTTCCAGTTGGTGACTCATATAAAAGAAGATCAGAGATCAGATATCATCTATGGTCGTACATGATGATTCAATGTCTGCTTCCTTAATTAGTTGATTATGAAGTAATTTGGTGTTACTGACCTATTACTAACTTTGAGCTTAAATTATCACCATTTATTCGAATTTAGCAAGCTAATTTGTATTTGCTTCTGAAGGCCTGCCCTTCTTGAGATTATTGATTCATGGGTGTCTAAAGAGAATTAAGTATGGTCTACATGAAGAAGTTAATTTGGTGTAAAAAAAATGTATCATGGTGTGGGAATACGAAAAACATTAGGAGAGTCGGGATAGAAATCTATCCCTAACGTTGGAGATGGAAGAAAAATCAGTTCTCTGTTGCTTGACTGGACTTTTTCCTCCATATAATAACATGAATTAAAGCTGAGTTATTCACAAAACAATGGTGAGATACTCACAGAACAAATATCTTTCTCATTCAAAGATTTAGCGTCACTTAATTCGAGAGAAGAACTAATGTAATCAGTCTTTTGTGTTGAGTTTTGATGAATCAAACTACGTATTAATGTATCATAAGCTAATCAAATTTTATTGCTACTTCAACATTGTCGCTTTGCTATTATAAGTTCACTTGAATCTTTATTTAGTTACCATCCTATTTCATTTTCAAACGATATTATTAGAAAGAAATAACTAACTAAAACAATGAAAAGTTGTTCCAGAGTTGATACCATGTTTTCCATGGAAACAATTACATTAGCTTAGCTCTGACTTCTGAAGAATTTTATCTTTCCTATTTCGGCTATATTTATAGAATGACTATTTAAAAAATTCAATAATATCTTTTACGATCGCGCGAAGCGCGTGTAAATTAACTAGTTAGAAAATATTATTAAGGATAAACTAGTAAAAGTGTTGGTCAAGCTAAAAGTGCTTATAAGCTGAAATGCCACAAGTTGGGAGTGACCAGCTTATGACTTATGGCTGATTTTAGCTTATAAATACTTGGTTTATAAGCACTTTGGGTATTTACCAAACGCGTAGATAAGTCAAAAGGTGTTTATAAGCCAGTTTGGCCAGCTTATAAGCTTATCCAAAAACTCTCTTAATAGTACTTTCTTTTCATGTTATAGATATATTTTTATTTTTCATTTTAATAAATGAGTATTTTCTTTTCATTTCATGATATAAAAAAATAATTTTTTATTTTAACAAAAAAAGCACTTCAACAAAATGACGTACTAAAGGTATCTTCTTTCATTTTAGCAAAAAAATATTTTATTTTCATGATGTAAAAAAAGTATTTTCTTTTATTTTTTTTTTCATTTAGAAGAATATTAACTAAATTCTTGAAGAAAATAAATTCCTAAAAATGTTGGGTATTTGGGGGGAGGAGGGGGGAGCTAGGAAACATGGGGACATAGGGGAAGGGGAGTGAGGAGAGTAGCATAAAAAAATATTTTCTATTAAGAAACTAAGCTCAAAGTAATGATATGAAACAAGAAAAAACAAGAAATGTAGAGAGGAAGAGAAAACTATCTTATTTCTTCTATGTATTCAAGTGTATACAATATCACTTCTCATCCTCTATTTATAGTATTACATAGGGGTATACAAAAGAATGTCATAAACATGACATTAAACATTTGAGATCATGGAGGAAGATCATGGGGAGGTTATAGAGGTATGGGAGTTACAACCATAATGGTAAGAAGTAGTGGGAGGTTAATGGAGAATAGTAGTGGGTGTTATTTATTTAGGAGTTATGGACATCCACCATAATATAATGTTTCATAACACTCCCCCATGGATGTCCATAGATAATGTGCCTCGTTAAAATCTTACTAAAAAAAAATCATGTGGGAAAAAAATCTTAGTGTAGGAAAAAGAGTACACTTATCATGTAATACGCATTGTCTGCTGCCTTGTTAAAAACCTTGCCAGGAAAACCCATTGGGACAAAACCTATGCTAAGGGAAAAAGAATACAACACGTATTTGACTCCCCTCGATGAAAACATCACTTTATTTCTTGAAGGCAATGCATTTCAGTCTTGTATTTCAACTTCTCAAACATTGAGGTTGACAATGCCTTAGTGAACATATCAACGAAATTATCACATGAACGAATTTGTTGAATATCAATTTCACCATTTTGTTGAAGATCATGCGTTTGAGAAATTTGCTTTATTATGTCTCATTTGATATATCCTTCTTTCAATTGAATGTAACCACTTGACTGATCATTTTGAGCATTTTCACTTCGCTCGGTAATTTGAGGGCACGAGTATGTCCGTACGATGTATTATGACTTGTGTGAATCGTCAATTTTGGTTTTCAGGTTATTCGAAATCGATTTGGAAGAATAAATTTCATGAACTGAAGCTTTAAGTCAGAAGATTTGACAAAGTTTGACTTTTTAGCATTTGACCTCGGATTGGAGCTTTGATGGTTCCGTTAGGTCCGGACGGAAAGATAACTTTGATGATATCGGGTTCGAATTGTGGTTTTGGGGATTCAAATAGCTTCACTATGTCATTTGGGACTTGTGTGCAAAATTTAAGTTTATTCCGAGTTGATTTTATATGTTTCGGCGCGAGTTTTTGAAAGTTTGAAGGTTCATTAAGTTTGATTTGAGGTGCGATTCGTCATTTTGATGTTGTTATGCATGATTTGAGGCCTCGAGTAGGTTCATGTTATGTTATGGGAATTGTTGGTATGTTCGTTCGGGGTCCCGAGGGGCTCGGATGAGTTTCAGATAGGTTTGGGTTGTGTTGCGCTCGTTTTTCTTATGTTTCGACGTTGTTTCTTCAAGGATAAATGGTACCACATAAAGAAAATAAGTTCCAATTTATGTTTTTATTGAAGCACTAGATCCTATCGTAATTACGAAGCCATATCAAAAAGAATCGTCGAATTTGGACATCGTATGAGGAGTTTATGGTCATTTTACTAAGAATTGGGTTGCCAGATTTTTCAGATTAATTACGAAATTGCCACTTATTTCATGTTTAAATATCTGCACTATTGAAACCAACATATCTCCTTCATTATAAGGTCAAATGGAGTGATTCAAAAGCCAAAGTTGACTGAAATTTCATAAAAAAATCTATTGGAGACATCAAAAGCGAGATTCGGGATCGTTTGGCACATGAAACAAGGCAGAACATCAGGGCAAGAATACTTAATATCGAGTGTTGTTCATTTGATCATATTCTGAGTTGGGGAGCTCGGATTTGGGTAACTTTTGGACGTAATTTTTACCATATGAATTGGATTTCGAGCCGTTCGGAGGATGATTTGAGCGGGATGACGCTTCTAGTGTATCGTTTTGGCTTGTTGGATGTAAGTGTCTTGCCTAACTTTGACGAGGCAATTTTTCCTACTATTTGACATTATTTGCTATGTTCGGGGGTGATACATATATGAGGTGATGAGCATATATGCATGTGCTAGGGTTAATCATGCTCGGGGGTAGATTATGCTATGAATTGTGCCTTGTAGAATTACGTGAACCTCTTGCTTTATGTCTTACTTGACTCATAGATACTAAGAATATAGAATTAAATGTTAGAAACCAAGATCAGTTTATTATAACTTGATCAAAATTTGACGAAAATTCTGAGAAAACATTGTTGTTTCTAATTCGGTCATCATTATGCTTAATCATTAATACATTGTTACGACCGATATTCTTGAGATACTAGATTCTATACTCGTGTTGTAGATCATTCTTGAGATTTGCTGAAATACTTAAATAATAAGGTTCTTAATAGTTTATTGAACTATTGTTGGCTTGAAAGTTGTGAATGGGGTTCGTTTGGAATATTCATTTAAGCACTCTCCTTGACGTTATTTATGCTTCATACCTTGTTTGACATTGATATACATATGCTTGTTAAGGAAGAGTGTAAAGCAAGAAGGGTGATGCTGTGCCATTATATATATATATATATATATATATATATATATATATACATACATACACTATCATGTGAGGGAGAGTGTAAAGCACGAAGGGTAATGCCATGCCATATCATTTGAGAGTAAAAGCATGAAGGGTGATGCCGTGCCATGTTATGTGAGTGTAAAATACGAAGGGTAATGTCGTGCCATTTTATTTGAGAGTAAAAGCACGAATGGTGATGCTGTGCCATGTTATGCGAGTGTAAATGTAACAATCCGGCCAGTCATTTTACTTTATTGAACCCCGTTCCCCTAAATAAGACTTTTTGTACTTGCTTTAACTGATTTATGACTTGTGGGGACGGTTGGTTCGGGATTCAGAAGAGTTTGGGGTTGAAATCGGAACACTTGGTTCCTTAAGGTTGGCCTAAAAGGTCAAGTTTGACTTCGGTCAACATTTTGAGTAAACGACCTCGGAATCGGGATTTGACGGTTCGAATAGGTTTGAATGATGATTTCAGACTTGGGCGTATGTCCGGATCGGGTTTTGGATGACCTGGGAGCGTTTCGGCGCTTAATAGTGAAAGTTAGTTCTTGAAGAACTTGGAAGTTCTTTAAATTTGGTTTGGAGCAAGTTTTGGTGTTATCGAGGTCCGAATTGAATTCCGAGTTCGGGAATAGATCCATAATGTCATTTAAGACTTTCACGCAAAATTTGGTGCCATTCCGAGTAGTCTAAGTATGATTCGATGTATTCGGTGAATTTAGAAAACTTGAAGTTCAAAGTTTGATTCAATTTAGTTTTGGGGTATGATTCTTTATTTCGTTGTTGTTTTTCGTGTTTCGAGAATTCGAGCAATTCCGTATTATGATTACACACCTGTTAGTGCCGTTGGACGGGGTCCCGAGTGGCTCGGGTGAGTTTCGGACCCCTCGGAGCTAAATACATGATACCAGATCAGCCTAGTTCTAGTTTCCT